GTGGTGATAATGACGGGACCATTAGGGCTCTGCCTGCATGGGGCTTCCAACAGAGTTTTGAAACAGTTCTTATGCACTCAGTTTTGGCCAGTCTATATGATAATAGTGTTTGGCTGGCCTGTGTGGAAGGGGTCAAACTGTTACTATTGGGTTAATAGAACCCTTGCCCTAGGATAGGGTTCTACAGATGTGCACCAAAACTCCCCAAGGCTTAAAGAAAAATTTTGTCCAGGTTTTAACGAAGTTTATTTCTTAGTAACCCTGGCCCCAGACTTAGGGGTTGTTTAAAACAAAAAATCAAGATGACCCCTCAGTCCTGCAGCTCTACTGCAGATGGTAACCACCACCAATTTTCTTCACTGTTGTTCCATATTGGTGGGTCACTTGGTTCTGTTCAGTTACCTCTCAGGACTTGCCAAAGACAGTGAACAGAATTCATGTCCTTTTGCTCCAGTATCACAGGCCCCTAGCATTTCATCTCAGGTAAAATCTCCTTTAGTATTGGGGCTGTGAGCAGTTCTGACTTTGGCTAGTAGAGGGCAGCATTGTGCATGTCATGCTCTAGCCCATTCATTAGTTTCCTTCGTTCTGTTCCAAGGATGTAGGGATTAAACAGAACGCTGCATTCCCACACTGGCAGTGCCGTACAAGGGAAGGGCTCATTATTCCATGCGCTTGCTGGCTACGGTCCATAAACCCTTCATTATTTTATTTGTGGAAAGCCGTTTTAGAAAAGTCACAACTGGGAGTCTGGACACACGGACCCCAAAGCAGTTAAGATTGTCCTACATGTCAGACTAATGCCTGTACAACAGAGTCCTCCACAAAGGGCTTTTTATACCAGGCTGTAGAACGCAGTGAGACTAGCCAAAAATAGGCACAGTAATTAACAAATTTTGTAGTGCCATTCAGAACAGCAGCTACTGTTTTGACTATACATGTCCTTGCCTTTTCTTGTGGCCCCTTTCTATCACTAACATCGGCACCAGTCACATCTGCCTATGCAGGAAGCAGTGGGGTATGAGAACTCAGACTACAAGATGCTCCTGAAGGGAGATCTCCCCATGGAACTTGAACTTCAGTGGGGCTAGGAGGAGAGTCCTGTGTAGTTATCGATATGCCTCTGTAGAGGGAAATGGTGTAACAAATCACTGCTTACTGACCAATGCCTTTAAACATAGGTGAGATTCTGCTGTTCTCAGTGCTCATGTCTGCAATGATTGGTGTTAAATGATTGGAGCTAGTCCACTCCTGTAGCCGGAGTCACCTATTCAACAACTAATGCGGTTCTTAAATGAGTACGTTATTCAGTGAATCACAGTGAGAGTTTTAGAGTGGTAGCTGTGTTAGTCTGTATCAGTAAAAACAACAAGGAGTCCTTGTGGCACCTTAGAGACTAACACATTTATTTGGGCATAAACTTTCATGGGCTGAAACCCACTTCATCGCATGCATGGAGTGAAAAATACAGTAAGCAGTATATATATTACAGCACATGAAAAGATGGGAGTTGCCTTACCAAGTGGGGGGTCAGGGCTAACGAGGCCAATTCAATCAAGGTGGACATCGTCCATTCCCCCCCAACAGTTGACAAGAAGGTGTGCAGAGGGAAAATGACTTTGTCGTGACCCAGCCACTCAGTGCGAGTTACTATAGCTTTCGGAATGATGCAGTCGTTCTCGTGTATATTAGTCCAGGGATATTTTTATCCAGTATTTGCTCAGCTCTAAAAATGATCCAGTCTTTAAGAACCCGGCAGCAGTCTTTAACTCAACGACCTCCTGCATGTGATTGGCAGAGACTGTCCATACACCTTTTCCCTCGTTCTGTATTTACCGTCCATTTATCTCAAACACACGAGATCCATCCCATAAACAAAACTGCTCCTAGAACCTAAATAATGCTACCAGTTTGTACTCCTCTGGCTTCAGGTTCACTCCACAGTGTGGCAGCAATTCAGTGTCAAGACCTCAGACTCCTAGATGTCTTGCTCGGGGTTAAAGGTTGTGCCCATTTTCCAGTGGAAAGTTGATTTTGCTAGATGTGAAATAAGGCTTTGGAAAATTCCCTGGGTGACGGTGTATCATGTTAACGTGGGTATGGCCTATTATTATTATTTAAACAGATTCCTCTGCCATCAATACAGAAAGGGAGAATATCAGTAGTTTGCTGCTGAGATTTGATGATGGGGAGAAGTGGCAGGGGCTGGATTGGCAGTGGGTGGTGCCCCCGATGAGGGCAGGTGTAGTGTTGCATTTCCAGTTCCTCCCCATTCATTCCTTCAGAGCATTTGAACTCCGATACTTGTCAGGTGTACGAAAAATCGACCTCTCTGGCTCCCTTTTGTCTAGTATGGCTGGATTGGGCGGTGGAGCCGCTCCAGGAAGGGAACAGTTGGAGTCATGACCATAGGAGAAGCCCCAACCCGGATCACTTTCAAGATCAAAGAAAGGAGCACAGATCCTGAGAACGAAGTGACCCTGCGGCTGTACGGGCAAGAACACAGGGTCTACACCCACCACATCCTGTGCTCTGGCACAGACCAGCTCCGCCAGAGGCTGCTGTTGAAAGCCATACAGGTGAGTGGAGCATGCTCATGTGCTTCATGGCTGCTTCAAACCTATAATGTTAAATGCCTTACATTATAGTCAATGTGCATATAGAGTCGGGTAACATCAGACACCCTCTCTCATGCAGGAGCTTGCCTGTGAGTACACCAGCATAGAGCCTGCGTCACAAGCACTGTTTATACTAGCGTGCAAAGAATGTGTGTCTGTAGCATGAACACAGGCGTATACTTAGGCTTGGAAGGTGTAGATTTTCATTGTTAAATGTTGATTTCCCCGCACCCGCACAAACCGACGAAAAAATATTTCCATCAATGGTGGTTGAAATGTACGGATAGGGAAAGTAAGAAAAACGCTCCTTAAGAACTTCTTAGAGTCTGATTGAAGGATATTTACTTTGTATATTTTGATGTGATGTTGGCAGTTTGTATTTTAAACAGCTATAAAGCTTTAACTTTGTTGAATCTCAACATCTACTGCCATTAAATAATTATTGTCTGCCCCCCCCCGCACAATTTCCTGCAACTGAAAATTGAAATCAATAAAAATAGAAAAAATGCTTAAAAATAAACATCCATATTCTCCAGCAAAATTATATATAAAACATTGAATTCTGCCAAGGCTACATCTACTTCCTACCTGCTGAGCAATACATGTATTGCATACATGGCCAGATGGACACTGTGTACCGTATGTGTGAGTAACACACACAGGTTAAAAGCCGCTCTGTTGCACCTCTCTGTGAGGAACTGCTCTCGCTTTAGACCCGATTTAACCCAGAGAGACCTCTGTGCCCCACTTGCATTATGATAGAGTCGTGGGGATCATAA